TGCTGAAGTTGATCAAACCAAGACACATTACTCTCAATGAGGTGTTCTGGACTAGGTTTGGACCTGGATCAGACTGGAGCTGTAGGGATGCGCAAATTTGCGTTCCATGCATTCCATGCGTTCCATGTTTCATCATTTGTCCACGTTATTTCGAGAAGGATCATTTGGTCAAGCACATGAGGAGAAGCATTTTGGAGATAATTTTAAGAGTGATAAATCCAACTGGATGACGTCCTCGAAGACATTGAAGCCGGACGCTTCCATCCCACTCATGGTGGATTCAAGGTGGGTCTTTGGTTTTCAATTGTTATGGAACAAAAAATCCATGGTGGAAAACTCTTATGGTTTGGAAAACTCTTTGGTTTTAGTTTGGTCTTTGGTTTTCCAAACTCTGATGCCATGCTGGAACAACATGCATTACCCAGATACGACTATATAATGGAACTGCCTTATATGCCGCCCCATTGACCCCCAAAACCACTTTAGTCAATGGGGCGGCAGTCCTATGGCAGTCCCATTAGTCGTGTCTGGGTTCGAAACAACAGCTTTAATCATGATTACCACTGGTACCTGGACTTCTGGAGTAAATCATACCACGTCTCCTGTACTTAACCAAAAACCCCATGTCTGTAGCGTTGAAAGGAGGTGTGCCGGGAGGGGCGTTGATCGGATCACTCCGCACTCAGCCGCACGCACTCAGCACTCGGATTCGTCACGTCCGTGCTTGCAACGCGCGGAGTTCAGCAACGGTCCAGGTTCTCACGGTGTCCGAGTTCCAGCAAGCCCTGGAGAAGTTTGGATTCCAACTGGGCCCAGAGGTTGGCGCTCGCCGTTGGCGCTCGCCGCTTGACGGTCCCGTGCTGCGTACTCGGAGTGCACGGGGTGTTGTGGAGCCTGGGTGGTGTTTGGAGCGTCACGCTGCGAGTTGATTTGGAGTTGCATATGCAGTGGGTGAAGCGTGTGGATGACTCCGTGTGGCTGTTTTGGTCGCTCCAGGCACGCGGAAAAGACGTCTCCTCACATGGGGATGGGGAAAATTCGAGACGAAACCCACACCCACACTGCTTGGAATTCGGAAGATGGTCTTCCTTTAAGGGTGAAGAGGTCTCTTGGCAACACCCCAAGCAAAAGCTGCCTTCGATGCGGTTTGCCCGCAGCATTTTATTCTTGACCCACTTGAACACCCTTGAAGCAAGTGTGTAGAATCAACGAACTGGCGGACTTGTGAACTTCACATCCCCCGATCTATGGAGCATTTTCGCGGGTCGCATCGACCGATGGGCAGTCCGTTTTTCTTCGTGGACCCGTTCACACAAGTCAGGCACGTCTTCAGAGGTGTGATGTGAGATGTGAGACGTGGCAGTGTTTGGGGCGGAGTTGAAGAGATGCCACGCGTGGCCCAACTCTTCAGTTCGACCCAACCTTGGGAGTCCCGTCTACCCCAGTCCTACGGCCGCCGTTGGACTCACCGAAGCATGAGTCACGAACGGAAGAACCAGGACCAGGTTGACCTAGTGGACCAGTATTATAGCGTGTATATATATAGATCAGCCAAAAGACCCCTCACGGACAGTCCAAAAAACCCAAGGCAAGCCAGGGGCAATCTTCTGCCCTTCGAACTTCAGAAACGACGGCCAGGACGTCTTGAAGATCATGAGGCACTTCGATTCGCGCAGGGACGGCCAGGTGAGCTACAACGAGTTCTGCGACGCCTTGCCCCTTGGGCCGGCGAATTGGGGTCTCGCAGATTCTGAGGATTAGAGCAGAATCCTGAGGTAGGCAACAACAGTTGTTGGAATCCCAGGGGTCGGGTATTTTTCTGCCGGTGGTACCTTCTTAGCGAGGAGAAGAAAGAGGCCGAAAGTGGTTTCAGGAGGATTACCTTTGGTTGAAGAACAAGAATTAGCAAGGATGTTTCTTGTGGAAAACCAGCCGTTCAAGAAGCTGGGTGTATTGGGGGACTATACCTCAAAAATGAGAGGATTCTACCAGCACCACCCAAAGGTGGTTATTGGATAGCAAATACATCTTCAGGAGGGGTCTATACACCACCCTTTGGGTGGTGTGCTGGTATGTATGAGTTGGTCAAACATGACACTGTTCTGAAAGGCCTCCCCTTCGGTCAGCGACACAGCGACGACATGCCTCGGAACAGCCGACAGCAACGATCGTGGGCAATTTGAACCTCAGTTTCCGTTCGCCTTCGGTGAAGACATGTGAAGACAACAAGAAAAACATGGTGCAAACCGGTTTTTGATGGTTTTTGTTGGCTTCTGAATCATCGACCATCCTGAATCAACACATGGTTCGAACTGGTAGGTCGACCATTGAACCCAATTGAACCCATGCTTCTTGGAATAGACTCGGAAAACAAGCATCACTCGACTCGTTGAGTCCCGCAGTGGCCCCTTGGGGTCGCTCCAGGTCGCGGGTTTGGCGTCGGCGTAGACGAAATGTAGCCTGGAAGTCCAGGAGAAGTTTGTATATATATCTATGTTTCAGTGACTTTCAGGCTGCATGAGTCTTTTACTTCGTGCATAGTTTGTCTAGAATGTTCCTTTAATGTGCCCAGTTCGAATGGAATGATAGGGAAGGTATGGAAAGCTTCTTCGAGTCATTGATAGTCGTCCTTGGGCCACTAGGGGGATCATCGATCAGTGAATCGATCAAGTGAAAGTGTGATCATCGTTGGATTTTTGTCAAGCTGGGTCAGAGACTGAGTGAAATAGGACATGAACTTGCTAGCCAAGAAGAACCGAAGGGCAAAAGGGGAGAAGCGTTTCTGATGTCTTTGGCACATACCATGAAGAACCATCAACGTTGAAAGGAGTACATATAAGAAACAGGAAGGGTGAAAATCACCCTCACCCAATCTACCTCGAATCACCCCAAGTCAGTCCGCGCAAGTCCAATCCCACGTCAAGACGAAGACGAAGACGTCCGCCAGTCGAGGCTGGATCCTGATTGGACCACCGGCATGTTGCAGACCCAGAATCCCCTGGATGAGCCTTGGACGAGCGAGGTGTAGAGGTGTAGACGACCAGTCGACGACTTGGTCGACCCGGTGTAGAGGTGGGACTCAGGGTGCCAGTCAAAACCGAAAGCACAGCCTGGTTGCTTCACCTGTTGAGGTCGTTTATTCAGTCTATTCTGTTCAGTCTTGGGTGGTCAACCGGTCGGTCCCCCTGGTTGATTCTGACTGGATGGCGAGCCTGATGGAGTCAATATGGCTCAGCTGCAGCACATGAGGTCCTGGAAGAATGGTCTTCCAAGACGCCAGGCAAGTCCCATTTCAAGGCAGTGTGCGTAAGAAAGGGCCCACTATAGAACTGTAGCTGGCAACGTTTGCGTTTGCAAGATGTATTTGTTTTTTTCATTGCGTTTACCTTCAAGCAAAGTATCTGAAAGTACCTGCCCTTTCCGAGTTTTCGACCATGTCATACACTTTTTCACCATGTTGCATACCTTTTCTTCATGCCTTTTCCTTTCTCGTCCCGGACTCATCGGGTGGAACCTGCCACCGACCCTTTTCGCTTAGGAGAAGCACGATGAGGCCTATGCCACGCGTGCCTCTGCAAAGACAGCTGAGAGAGCAGAAACCACTCAGGCCACACCGAGCAGCCTTTTTTTTCGAGGAACTCCTCAGGGCGTGACTTCCGAGACTCGCTAGCTGGGGGGTGGCCCAAGTAGTTTCAGTGCACTAAGGTGTTAGTTGGACACACCCTTTGCTCTTCATTTTTTGAGATGATAGTCCCTTGTTCTTCACCCCTTGTTCTGGTAAGTAGCGATTCTTGAGATGTTCTTCACTTTTAGTTGCGGTTTCTCTCGATCGTGTGCGCTTCCTTTTCCACCTGCAGGTGCGCAAAGCCGTCCGGGAATTGGGCGATGTGCTCTACAAGAAGCAGCTTGGTCTATGAAAAGTGCAACACACACAAAAAGACAAACAGCCCAGACAGACAACCCATGTATGGCATCTACATTGGGGTGGTTGAATAGGGTTAAACTAGTGGTTAAACTATTTATATGGTCAATCCAGTCTCAGACGCTCTGTTCACAGGCCTTTCCCGATCCCTCAAAACCGGGATTGGTTCGGGCCCCGATTTGGGTCCCCCTACTGAACGGAGGGTCCAGACCTCGCGTAGCTGGGTCTTTTCCAGCCCACACGGCTTCTGTCAACATCACGATTTCCCGCCATTCAAGCACGGTCACGGACCTGCCCAGGCATGGCTTCGTGATCCGGATTCTGAAAGAAATGCAGCACATTACCCATGAGGACGTGTCTGGTTTGCTGTGTGCTTCGATCGTTCCCAGCAGAATGGTTTGTTGGGTTTCACGAGTAGGGGCGGAGTAGGGTAGTGATGTAGTGCGTGCATCTCGTTGTCTTTCATGCTTGGATCGTTTCATGTAGGCTTCTTAAAGGTCCTGCCACACTGGGATAAGAAGGATCGTATTTGTGTTAGCCGTTTAGGTCGGGTGTTTCACTGAACCCTTTGGCCCAGGACTATGTGACGTCTGAGCAGATCAAGAAAGCCTTGGAACATGTTGGTCATCCGTTCCATTTGGAGGATGCCACTGGTCGTAGACGAAGTCTTGGACGTAGATTCGTAGACGTAGACGTGACACGTCGACGCCTTGCAAGTGATTTCATAGTTAAAGGTCCATGTTTCATTTGGTTCACAATCCTGCACCGTCATGCACCATCATGCCTGCCAAGCGGCTTGTCCAGGTCATGGAAACCATTTAAGGTAGAAAGATCATCAAGAGATAGACCCAGAGGATCCATGTACGTAAGTAAATATGATCTGCCTATACATGAAAACCACCAAAAACAGAACCTATCGATCCATACCTCTCTCTTTTTTTTCAGATGTCCGTGGTGACCTATTCCTGGCACTAGCACGTCATTGGTATGTACCCGATTGTCCGTTCATCCACTCGTATGCTTGCCAGTTCGAACCTTCACCACCCTGAATTGATGTGGCCCAAAGGGCAGTCGGGTGATGAGAATCTAATAGAATCTGTCTAAACATCGGCCTGGTTTCAGAAGTGCAGAATCATCGACCTGCAGCTGCAAGAAACGGTGTTATTGCTTCGTTTTCCTTCCCTCCTCCACATCACATCTCCTTCCCTCCTCCACATCACATCGAGGTGGAACGAGTGATCTTGTATCTCCATCCCGACGCCGACCTGAACGCCGTGGATTACCGAAGGCTCTTCCAGGATGCCCGGAGACCTCGGCAGACGGGTCGACCCTTCGGTCGGTACCGGGTGAGCTACGGGTCGAACGGAGACACTGGCTGAAGCGGTTCGGGTCGTGCGCACGGAGGGTCGTTCGTCGTTACCATGAGTGCCCGGGTACTTGCTTTCCCAGACCATGCATGGGACTGCATATACCACCACACGAGGTCGGAGGAAGACGCCCAATCCTTTGACATACCCAGACAGGACCGGTCGGGCTGTTTTCACGCAGCCGGGGCCGACCGCATCCGGTTCTCTCACGCGGATCGACGATCCGAAATTGATGTGCGCTCCCTCAACTGGATCGATCGTGTGATCATCGTCATGGCCTGCCAAAAAAACAAACACAGAACGCAAAAAACAACACAACGTCGACGTGTTTTTCCGCATTACGACGTAGATCAAGCCGCAGAGTGGTGATCTGGAGGGCGAGGTTTTCGCTTCTGTTCATCTTCCCCTGCGCGGAGTGTTCGCCCAGGTCGTGACGAGCTTTCACGATGTGAGCGCTTCACGTTGAGGCGTCCACACATCCGGAGAACGGTGAAGCGCGGTGGACCGTCTTTTCACCGCTCGGAGCCCGGTCGCACTGGTGGACTGGGACTCTGTCGTTCGGACAGTCGTACGTGGCGTCGTTCGGGCGCAGCGATTTCAGAGGGAAGTGGACTGGGTCGAACTGGGGCGGTGGTTCTGTTCTTCTCCGGCCCGGTCTGGCCCTGGACCTGGTTTGTGGGGTTTTGGCGTGTTTCTTTTTGGGACCCATCGCATCATAACAGACCTATATCTCATGGACATGGCAAGCGGTGATTCGGGAAAGGTTTGGTGGTTGGAAAGGGATCTTGTATCAAAGACCCAGGCAACAGCAGATTTGCAAGAGTCTTCTCGCAACAAGGGTGGCCACAACCCCCTCATTTGTGTTGATCAGAATTAGGCCTTGCGCAAACCAACGAGTATACCCCTGTTCAAACGATCCAGCTGGAGAAATCATGGATTTAAAGGGATCCCACTAAGACATCTAAAACGCTTGCTGAGAGCTTCATATCATTGTTGGCCTCAAACAATGGAGTTTGACTCCCCCCGAGCGGCAAGAAGACCAATGCCAATTTTGTTGTTTTCTCCGGTTTCTCTAGTTTGCTTGGGCAGCAGTTCCACGCAGACATAGGCAGACGAATTATAGATTGTCCCGGCGAAGGCCCACTGTATTTATACTAGATCTTCCAACTATACGGCTATACGCAAAACATTGCATGACTTCTGCCAACCTTGGCTGGTTTCATAGATGAAAAGGCATAATTGTTGCACGGTTAGAACTTTTAGAACTGAAGAACCAGGTAGACATGTGGTCGCAGAACTTAGCTCTTGACTGGGCTGTCACTTGGAGGTTCTTCATGTGGTGCCATGATTCCGATATTGTATATATTGACTCCCAAATCCGTTCCAAAGTTTCTCCTGCTACCGGCCAATCCAGGCTGCCTTTTGAGGCTTAGCAGCTCGAGAGGTTTCACCCTGAGTTGCCCACGATCGCACTCTGGTGCGGTCTAGTGGCGAGACGCCCTCCGCTGCAAAACGCAGCGTGCCACGTGCGCCTCCAGTCTTGGGCCAGGCAGCTTGTCCAAGCCATGCCTCGCCCGTAGGTAAATGAAGCTCCTTGAGCAGCGTCGTCATGGCGCCTTGCAAGGTAGGTGTCTCACCCCTGCTGAGTTGCCAATCTACAGCAAAAATGGTTTGAGGCCGCAACGCGTGAATGGAACATGATACAATTATGCATGGAACAATATAATTAATACCTGAATCTTCCAACTGTGCCATATTTCTGCCTTTTTTATCCATAAACATCAGCCAAGGTTGGCAGACATTTGGCAAAGTTGGAAGATCCAGGTATATATGTCTTTTGATGTCTTTTCTTTAGATTGTGCCAAAGAGATGGAGTTACGTGCAAGGGTTGAGTTTGGTGCACATCGGTGAGGGAGGTCTCCTTAGCTTTCTGACCTCAGATTTTGTTGGACTTGACATGGAGAGCAACGCAACGACGTGCTTTGTTTTGTTTGCTTCACTGATTGCTTTGCTTGCTTTGCAACAGCTGGTTCCAAAGTGATCCTTGAGTTTCACCAAGTTGAGGGGTCTTCTGAGAACAGCACGGATTTGCGAGATCGATGATGGAACCTTCGCTGATTCTTAATTTGATTTCAACTAATTTCATGCAGATTAAGCACTGCACGTTCCAAGTTCCAACCAAGTGGCGTTGTTTCACATCTTTCGTCTCATTCTGGTACTGAAGGCTTCTTCGAAACCCGCTCTTCCTCTAGGCGCCGCACACGAAGTCTTCTGGAAGCTGTCTCACTGACTTTGCCATGTAAGTGATTCCCCGAAGACCTACAAGATCGTACGCTCCTATCCTACACATGAAAGAAACAAGCAGCCAAATCCACGGATCGCCTTCCTCCGTCGTCCGCATGGCACCGACATCTTCCACATTCGCTGGCCCAGAACTCAGTTTTATGACGGGTGACTGGGGAGGGCAGAGGCAGAGGTTTCAATCTGTGGATCACCGGATTTTCTTCGATGACGTCACTCAGCCCTACGTACCATTTGTGAGAATCCGTTTGGTGCCTCAGCACCAATTTAAGGTACCTGAAATCTGCCACAAGTGGGCCCTTTTTTGGTGGGCCTTTTTTGGTGAACGATGTTGGCACAAGTTGAGGTTCTTTGGGATGTGTCTCAAACTGTCTTGAGTCTTTCATGCTCCACTCCGATGGAAATTCACCGCCCATCAGTTTTCAGAAGCGTGGGTTCTACGTGTCAGGGGCGTCCGGGTTCAAGCGGTCCAAGTCAGCGTTCCAAGTCTTGAGTCATGACATGACTACCTGGGATTCCGGATCGGGGTTCCTCGTGGTTTTTCCTTATACCCTAGACTTCCAACCACTATTAAATTAAGAGGCCTTACCGAACCAGCTACCAGTTCAACCATTTTGTTAATGTTCTTGGAAGGCTATAGGTTATATAAACCAAATCATGAGTCGATCGATCGATAGGGCTGTTGAAAGTCACCCAGTAATTTGTGTTCATTGTTTCTCCATCACTGCAGATGTTCAACCAACCAGAAACTGTCAAAACAATCTTCCGGCTGGGTCACTGCAGGGTTCTAGCATCACTGCAGGGTTCTCCATCCACCTCTTTTGACCTCTATGTTTCCAGGCAAACGGCTCGGGTGTCAGACTGTCACAGCAGGGTTACGGTCCTCGAATCCTCTTGACTACAGCTCGGGTCGCTCGCTGTCGCGGCGGCTGGAGTCACTCAGAGCAACCACAGGAGTGGTTCCAGCCAGTTCCACCCCTATAGTCACGTCTGATGAAAGAGGTCTCATGAAAAAGGAAGCTGGCCCAGAGATTGTTCACCTAGCTTAAACTGGTCTAACAAGTGAGCAGGAAAAGGACACCATCCATCGCCATGGTCCTGAATTTCGCTCGCCACCCGAGGCACGCGCGCCCAAGTCCTGGGCATCGGCTTTCACAGCCTCGACGAACGGACGCGCAGCGCGTTGGAGGCGGAACTCGTCACCGGACTTCAGCGACCCGTTTCGGCGACCGACGTGGTCCGAATTGGTTCCACTGGATGTCTGGATGTCTCCGGTTTGGATGAAGAACCGGAGAAGGCCGGTTTTTGGAGTGTTTGGATACTTGAGTCCAAAAGATCTGCTACCAGAACATATCAGAACATCTTGCGTGTTCGTGCGGGGTTAGTTCATTGACCAAACCGGATTGAGCAACCCCCTAATGAACTGTCTTCCGGTTGTTTCCGTTTTGTTCCTGCTTGTTCACGATCCTCCATCTATAATATCGATAAATGGTGCTTCTGAATCCGCACGTATTGCACTGTTCGGTTCTGCCGCAAGACACCGTGCTGAATCCCTCCATGGATCCCTGCAGTTCTGTGGATCGGGTCCAGCAGCCGAGAGGGACTCAGTGTCAGGTACTTGGCGCACGCACTCTCCGCGCCTCCTTGGCCAACCCCCCCCAAAAGACCGGGTCCTGGTGCCAGCGCCGGCGCCCACCAAAACGGGTGGTTGGACAAGACATTTTCAGTGGGGTCTAGTCCAAAGCACCACCAATACCAACAGTTTCAACTCCCAATGGAGTGGCCTTTATGACGTTTACCTCAAGAGTCTGGTCTGCTCGAGCCGCCCCCGTCCTCGCTCGCGGGTCGTCGTCGCGCCCGCGCCGAAGCAGCCGAGCAGCCGAGCAGGCCTTCGAACGAGCCGTCCGTCCATCTGGCGTGGCGGCTGGTGGCAGCGATGGTGCGGAGCTAGCGAGCGCGGAATGTGGCACCGACTAGCACGGCAGTTGTTGCCAAGAAAGAACTCAATGAAGAGGGACATCCCGGTGTGTTTTTGATTGTTTGTGTTTTTGATTGAGTTTCATGTTAAAGACATTTAAAGAATTGGTTTGGGTGTTACGTGTTTGACTTCCAGGGGATGATTCTTGAAAGATCACATTCCTCCACAAAGCACTGCAGCCTGAGTGGATGAAACCCTTGACATTCCTCCCAGTTAGGCGGTGTTTCATGCCCAGTTAGGTGGATAACCTCCGAAACTTTTTTAGGGATTAGGGCTTAGGGGCACCCCACTAAACAAGATGAAAAAGGTCCATCGTTCATGGGATAGCCTATTTCTCCATGATGTAGTACAAGATATAGTACAAGTATAGCAAATACATGTAAATATATATAAGTCGATCAGTTGAATAGCTGACTTTCTGGGTAAGCATATATATACTCCGTGGATGGTGGAACATCAACCCCCCTCAAGTGCATCCCTCCACACTCGCCACCTCGTCGACACGGCCACCCCGTTCGAGGTGAGAAGGTCCGCTCCAGAAGCTCTCGATTGCTGGAGGAAGAGTGCCGCGCAGGGGAGTCTCAGCGAGCCGGGCCTCCGATTGACAGAAGTCACGGTCCACACGTTAACCGTTCTTCGTTCGAAAAAGGGACACAACGTTGAGGAGCGATGGCCTCCAACCTACTAGCGATGGCCTCCACCTTAGCAGCGATGGCCTCCAACCTAATAGCAGTTGTTTCCTTCCCAGTGACCGTCCTTGAGATCCCAGATAATGATAATGTGGTCATGTATATAGGTCTCTAAAAGGTCATGCATCATGTATACCAATCCTGAAGTTTGGTACGTTCCTTGTATGTACTTTAGTCATTATTAGGTCTGTATACTGTATACATACGTTTGGTTTGCTGCCTGTCATTGCCTATGTACATGCCACATCCTGTTTGGGGCATCTTACTCTAAACATATGTAATTTAATGAACATCGCAAAGGGATGACCTCCCTAAATGTAAGTCATATGTTCCACACCTCCCCCTTAAAACGTAGGGAACATGTAGCTGCTTACATTTTCCAAGATTCCCCTGTTGTTGTCTTTTTTGGTAAAGATAAGGGCAATTGTTTCAATAGATGTTACTCGTATGTGTTAAAATGTATGCAATTGTTACATGAACTATATTTTATTTGAACATATATATATATATATATAAGTTCAACAACATTTATGACATGTATTTGTACATGATATCTAGAGATATTATTCTGAAGTTGTAAGTTCATTGCTTTACCATTGTTACTTGTATAGGTTATATATATATAGTTTGTTCACAATAAACATACATATTCAACCCATCCTATAGAAAAGGACAAAAAATATTCCAACAGTCAATTTTGTATAACGCTAGAGTATACCCGCCCAAAGTCAAAACACGTTGCATAGTTGGAAGACCTAGGTATGCCAGGTATGCCTACATTGACTCCTGAAACCATAACAATAAAGGTAAATAGGCCATACATAGAATGTATGGATTTGGCTTCGGAGCGAGCGTAGCTTCGAGGAAGTGACCGAGTGGTGGCCTTTGGCCAACATAGGGTATCGACATGTCTCTATTGGATGTTGGTTCTTTTGCAGGCACTAGTTGTTTTGCATCATACAAGATCTCATACATGTCTCTCTCATTCTCTCAACATATCTGCATGAAAGTGTAGTCATTCTCCAAAACTTGTGGCCTTGGGCTGGGTGTTTTGTGGCTTTGGCTCGCTCAGTCGATCGCATGTTGTCACATCGTTTTTCACATGTTGTCCAGCAAAGAACTCACACACCATGAAGTGACACTGCTCAAAAGGGGTTCACCTGCCCATTCAGAGCTTTTCTCCATGAAGCGACACTCACCCCACTCTCTTCACAGGGGGGGTTCCAAGGACCTGAAGCAAACCCGGATGCTGTTGCTTCGGGCCTGGAGTTGTAGGGTGAGAAACATATACCAGGAGACCCGTTCAGTCAGGGGTGCCAAGGGCTTCGTGGTAGTCGGGGTGTTTGTTAACCACCCCAAACAGGGTTCAAACAACACCCCGGAAAGGGGTCTCCTAAAATATACAAAAATAGGAGACACTGCCTGATCTCAACCAGAGTGCTCCCTCGCAACCGAAGTGCCCCCGCAAGTTTCTGGAATGGCCTACTGAAAACTGCTCAATCATGCTAAGGGTTTCAGGGTCCAAGGCATGGTCTTTGTCCACACCCTCAAAACCTCCATTTGAGGGTTCAGATTCTTAGGGTATCAAAGAAAACATCTGAGAAAGCTTCCTTCACTGGTCTCACCCTCGTTTGGCCAACTCCTTCACACGCCTGCCCCTTCCACCCCCTTCCACCACCTGCCCTTGATGGCAGTTCGGTCCGACACCACCACGCCGGCTCCTCAGTCGCTGGTGAGTGCTGGAGAGCATTTGGTCGCCTCCGTGGGCAAGCTGGTGGAGTGTCCATTGATGGTGCGCCGCGTCATGCGGTGGCGGGGCGGTGGCGGCGCGGTGGCGGTGGGTGTGAGGTGCTTTTTTGGGGGTGCACGGATCTGGTGGAAAACTTGAGGATGCTCCGGGTGAAAAGGATTCGACGTATAGCAGGTGTATCCAATGGAGGTCCTTATGTAGTGTAGGGGTAGTTCATTGACCCCTTGAATGATTGGATCCTCTTTTGACATGTTTGCACTGCAAAAGATATCCAAATGATCGAGGTGGTGGCAAGCCGGCGGTTGGGGGGTTTAGCACTTTGGAAGCTCCAAGGAGTTTTTTTTTTGCCATGTTCGGATGGTTCAGCAAGCCCTAGCCCATTCAGCCCATCGAATGTTAGGAGTTGCGCCCATCGATGATTGGGAAAACTCACCCCGTCGATCGCCGCATGTTTTTTGCATATCCGGAGTATGAAAACCGAAGACCCCTAAAACGAATTAAAAAGATGAAACACATGTTTCATAGTGTAAAATCCTTAGTAAAGACCATGGTTGTTTGGTAGAACCTAGTACATGAATGATGGTTGGAATTCTGTAGGGTATTATTGCTTAGGCCGAACCATTCCGAGATGTCTCAGGTTCTAAAGGCAAACAGTGTCTATTCCTGTATCCTGGTGTTTGATGCTTGTGTCCCGGGTACCCAAGTTCATGACCGGCTGGTCCTGGTCTTGAGCTTGCGAGAGTTGGAATTCTGCCCCTGGGTCCCAGGTCCCCGTTGCTTTTCTTTGTGTTGCCTTGTCCAAAACCACAGACGTTGGACCTCAAAGACCTCAGTCAAAGACCGGTTCGCATGAACTCTGCAAGACTTTGGGCACAGTTCGAAGGAAGAAATTCTCCACAGTTAGAAGCTCCAGTTGCGACGATGTACCTAGATCTTCCAACTCTGCAAGACTTTGGGCACAGTTCGAAGGCAGACATTCTGCACAGTTAGAAGCTCCAGGTATTGGTATAGGGTCCATGTGTCCATGGTCTTATTAGCTTCTGGTTGCCCAGGAGTGCCAAAAACTGCGTTGGGAAGGACTCCCTGCAAAGGGTGGACCCTATAGCCTAAGGGGCTACCACCATTCACCCCATGGCGTTGATCCCAAGTTGTCCGCCTGTCCACCTGTCCGAAGCTCAGTCGACCTGTCCTCGGCACGTCTGAAGCTCTCCGTGGGTCGGGAGGGGTTCTCGGCCAGGTGATGTTGCTTCAAAAGCTGCCCAAGTTGCTGGTTCGCCAGGCGCTGCTGGAGTGGATGTGTAGAAGATGTCACTGGTTTGTGTTCAAGCATGTGTTGAAAGCCAATCCACCAGTGAAAGATCATGCACCAAAGAGGTACCGCAATAGGAGTTGTTTGGTCGCACTCTCGCCACCCCTTCAAGTCCTGGACCAAGCTGTTCGAGGCGTTTCTTCCCCAAGAACCAGCTGTTTTTACGAACACCACAGAGGAGGGGTCGAAACGGAACGCAAAGGGGTCCAACCCTCAGACCTCCGTGCCACCACGTGGTGAAGTGAACGGGTCGAGCTTCATGTGGTTGCATGTGTCCCAGTTATGGAGTTCAGATCAAAAGCCACCATGGGACCCTCGGCTGGTCGGCGATTCCACAAACATCGCCAGCACGCAGCTGGAGTGTTTTTGGGGTCGTGGGTCTTGGGATGTCTAGGGAGTTGTGACGAAAGTCAGCGCGTCTTTGTTTTGAACTCCGTGGTGTTTCTTTCGAGTCCCTCGAGCTCCGTTCGGCCACCTCCGGTTCGATGAGACAAGGGGGTTGGACCACCCCACCGAAGCTGAGGAGATGGGCCAGGAGACCTAGAGAGTATAGCATCGTTGGTAAGTAGTATACATATAGATAGTAGACTTCGGTTTTAAAGTTGCCAGGGTTTTGCCCCTTGTTTTGGTCTATACAGTTTGCCCTGAAAGGTTTCGAGACATCGCCAATGTTTGTATATTCATAACATGATTCTTTGGGGGAACATCTGATATGATATGAACTGAATGATCACTGACTGTGAGATCTTTGCTTCGGGTCCTTAAAACCCGGAAAAGAAGGTCCGTCCTTCGTCAGCCTAGAGGGTCAGGTCTACGGATTCGAATTAAAAACGCCGTGCTCTTCGAACCACCTCCTCCGCCCCTGGAATTCATGCCGACCGACTTCTTCTTGGTCGAAGGCGATGATGATCGCCCTCGCAGATGTCATGCCGCAGCTGGTGGAGTCAGAGGCCTTGCGCCACCAGGCGCGCCAGCGCGCCGTTTCGACCGCGGTGAAAAGAGTGCCGGGCTGGGCTGGACACCGGTTCTGCTCGGGCCAATCGCTTTGGATGCGGAAAAAGGCGGGAAACAGGATGGAACTAGGACGGCCGGTCCTTCGCTTGGCTTGACCGTTCGCACATCCAGCGGTATCGATCCGCGATTAGCAGTAGACCGCCACACCACGCTGGGACTGACGCGCCGCGCCGCAGCGGAGCTTCCGCGGAACGCTCCACCCCCCAACACCTCCTCGCCATCAGAGATCGCCGGCGGGAACAGGGGGCAGTTCGACTCCATGACTCTGTGCCCACTCGTTCTGCCGGTTAGAGCGCACCGACGGACGGCGCACGGACGGCGAGCCACGTGCCGCGCCACGTGCCGACACCGAGCGGTGGGCGATTGGCGGATTTGGCACCTCCATGTTGACTCCAAGAGCCACACGTTGGCGCCACCAGCGGCACATGATGTTGATGGACTGAGGGACTGACTGACTGACCCCCCTGGCACCCGCCCGAAGCACCTGACGATGTGCTTGGATGCCTATGACAGCCTGCCGCGCTTGCGCGCGCTCGAGTACCCGTCCTTTCGGTGAAGGCGGCCTCTGAGCACTCTGAGCTGCGACCTCAGTGAGTGGCGGTCATGACCGCGGTGCTGACCGGTGTGGACCTCCACGACGACCGTCAGTCGACGTGCACCGCTCAATGTCTGCACCGCTCCGGTGGTTCGGGCCCAACAAGGCTTTCAAAAGGCCCGGCGCGTTTGGACCGAAGAACGGCCCTGGCGCCCAACCGAAGAACACCGGATCCGTCGCTGAAAAGGCGGAGGCAGGATGTGCACAGCTAGCGTCCCACACGGCACGGTCACCGGGGTGGACCTAAGGGAATTCAGTAAGGACTTAGGACGGATGGAGCAGGCTTGAGTGAAAGGCTTGACTGGACTTAGGATGGACGTAGGCCGGTAAGTAAGGCTTATTGCCTGATCTTTGATCGCTCATTCCACCTTCACGCCCTAGAGCCATGCTACCTGCGTCCTCTCCGTCGCCGTCACGCGTCCAGCTCCGCGTCACCGACGAAATCCGTTTCTGCAGGGTCCAAGCAGAATCTGGTGTGAAAGGTTTGCGTTCTGCTCTGTGTCTCAGATTTTTCTGCCTCTTTTTTGTGAAGTATTCTATCATGTATTAATGGTCCATGAATATTCTAGAAGATTCTAGAATCATTACACTGATTCATTATGATTTTCATTTAATGATCTATATTTCTGGATCTGGACTTCGTGCTGTGGCCCCGGGCGCTGCCCCTCCCCACTTCGCGCCTCGGCCCCCCGCCCGCCATGCGACGGCGAAAGCACGCCACACACGACGTGCCTCGTCCCACGGCGTCTCCGCGGTCTCCGTGGTCCTCGACGTCTCCAATGAACGGCCTGAAGGCGCCCGAAGCTCTTCATGTCAGCCGCGGTGGGACGAAGCTGCCAACTGCCAAGCTCGACGATGAGGTTGAAGAACTCGCTGATTGGACTGTGACTCTCCATGATCTCTCCCCAAGATGTCGTCTGAGTGCAGATATGGTCCTTGCTACCCCAGGCCTCAGGCTGCCAATGCCCCAACTGGAAAACTGGGCCGGTTCGCAGCCGATGCGAAAAAGACCAAGCTGTGAAGGTGACCAGCCAATCTGCTGCGCTTTCTCGGACTGGGGCGGACCGCAGGAACCCCTTCTGCACCGCGCTGGACCCGCGACGGAACCCCTGGAGCCGTAAGCACCCACCGTGACCGATCGGATCGGGACGGTGACCCGACCGGTCAGGAGGGTCCAGCGGATCAGGTGGTGGTTCCATCGCGTTGCGGTCCCGAAACTGGTCACACCTCCATTTGTACAAAAAAAAAAAGAAGCAAAAACACACTTTCTGGGGACAAAACACTCAACAAAAACTATACACAAAAGAACATGAAATGGATGTGTGTTGAGTGTTTCTTGTGTCAAATCCAAGTGATGCCGGACCTCTCAGGAGCCACGGAGCGCATCTGGATGGGTCATGCCTCTAGGGCCTCCGGGTTTGGGGTGTCCGGAGCAGCTCCTGAGGTTGCTGAGGATGTCCATTCACCACCCGGGGCCACCGCGGGCCCTGGCATGGGGTAATCAGATTGATGTACTGATTATATACCAGGAGTCACAAAGGGGTGCCGAACTTGGAGGTAGTCGGGGTGCCCCGCTACTCCACTCACTTAGGGACCAAACACCACCCCGACATGTGACCCTGACATGGTCTGCTCATGTTCCGTCCTGCGGCGTCCGGTAGACTTGTGGACGTGAGACAGACATGGTCCTGCGGTGCGCTTGATGGTTCTGCGGTGCGCAGCACCCGACCAAATCGCAAGCGTCACTCGGACCTTGTGATCTCAAAGTCCGTTCAATCGCGGCTTGGGGTGTCCATTAATAAATGTTCTTCTTGAGATGTCCTTAAGGCTTTAGAACGTTCTGCTAAGCCTAGCGGACCTCTTCAGGCTCGCTAGCGTCCAACAGGACCTGAAGGCTGACAGTCATCTGCTGGGACCCCACAAGGATTCTAAAGCTACACTCCAGAAAACTAACATCGGAACCTGATAACATCTGATCACCACGTCGGGTTGTAGAGGAACATCATCTTAGCAGAGCTCCCACGTGGCACGTGGCACGCCTCTTCTGTCGAAGCTGCCACGCGTTTGGCTCGTGGCGTGGGCTTTGCTTTGCCACGGCTCGTGGGCCGAACTCAGCCCGGTCGCAGCCCATGGCACCCCGGTCGCAGCCCGGCACAGGTCTCCTGGTGGTCACTGCTTCTGAAATCACATTGATAAGCAGTTATATACCGGTCGTCCATTCACCTGGTGGTCAAACGGCGAGTCTTAAAGGCCTGTCTTTGACCTTTTTGGTCTCTTGGTATTCGAACCATGCAATGTTGGATTTTGACATGGCAAACTCAAATTGTGGGAATCCGCGTTGGCGCGTTTGCGCGGCGTTCACTCCAAGACTTCAGTTCTTGCTCTCGATTGGATTTTAGCAGAGCTGGCGATATCGGCGATGCGCGGTTCTGTTAAGAGATGCAATGCCTATCCAGGGGACGCGACTGTATAGATGCAAGACTGCGTAGATGCAATGCCTATGTTGTTGGCGTAGATGCATGACTGCGTACTATTTGATTTGTTCCTTTTTTGTCAAATGAGTGCGTCTATAAGTTAAGTGTTTGTATGTCAATCAACCCCTAAGACAAATATATGTAGATGACAAACATGTGTCAAACATAGCGCATAGAGTTGTGTAATGTGTTTCATCTCCACCGCTTTTGCCATCAATTTTCCGTGGTCAACGGGATTCGCATCCAGTCGATGTTCGTCATCGCAGGAAGGATCGCAGTGTGAAAGGGATCGGAATTCCGCTTGGCGTGACGATATCAGTGTGAAGGCTTGCTTGTTTCGACGTCAACTGGAGGCTTGCTGGTCACACCCATTTTCGTTCGGGAAGGGTTTTTGCATGTTGCCTTTGGAGAGACTGTGGACCGCACAACGAAAAAACGGGTGCCACTCTGGCATTCTAACTCATATTTGCCACTCAAACTATTCTGTGTGTGCGGGAAGCGCATGTTAGCTGCTCTTTCCCCACCTGCCAGGTGAGGGTTGCTAGATTTTATCAGAGCTATTCTCCTCCTCTTCTCCTCTTCTGCTTCTCCTCTGCTTCTTCTTTTCTTCTTCTCCTCTCCTTCTTCTCCTCTCCTTCTTCACCTCTCCTTCTTCTCCTCTCCTTCTCCCTCTCCTTCTTCTCCCTCTCCTTCTTCTCCCTCTCCTTCTTCTCCCTCTCCTTCTCCTCCTCTCCTTCTCCTCCTCTCCTTCTCCCTCTCCTTCTCCCTTATCTCTCCCTCTCCTCCTCCCTCGCCTCTTCCCTCTCCTCGTCCCTTTCCTTTTCCCTTCCCTCTTCAACGTATGTTCATGGGTTCTGATAGTTTTGTTTTGGAAACTGATAGTTTCATTCTTTGTTGTTATGAGCCTTGAACCACAGATCCGTAACTTATGTTGTTGTTCCTGGACGCCCTGGGTTGTTTCATGGTGGTGTTTCTTGACCATTCCCTGTTTTAAGCCTTGGAGTTGGTGCTGCTGGTGTGGGTCCCCCATTTCATAGTAAAGCACAAAACATTGAGATGCTTACAGTCTTTCACTGCAATCACAAATAGTGAGCCACAGTGACATAGACTGTCAAGTAAAAGCAAGGCGATTTTATTGACAATACATTAAGTGTTGGTGCAAGCCAGATATACCCTAGTCAAGTTGGTTGCCATATGGCTTGTAAAAAGGCCAACGAAAAACAGAACTAGTTGCACATGGCCTGGCAAAAGGCCATTGCATAAACAGACCCATATTTCATTGCCAGTATTTGTTTTTTTTGGGGCATGTTTTCACACTAGTGAGGGACAACAACAATCCTGTGTGGCCAACACTATTACCTGGAGCACATGATGATTGCAGCGTGGCCAATCCTGTGTTTCATCCAAGCAAGGATGCACAGCATGATCGGGAAGATCTGGCATTCCCGCGGCCCCAAGCCGGTACACCGCAGCAGCGGCCACCACAGATCTGCCCTGTGTTGCACACTGCTTGCAAATGTGTAAGGTGAGTGGAATCAGATGAGTGCTGTAAGATGACTGGTGTATGATGAGTGGTGTATGATGAGTCGTGTAAGATGAGTGGAGTAAGAGGAGTGGAGTAAGATGAGTTGTGTCAGCTGAATGGTGTAAGATGAGTGGAGTCAGATGAGTGGTGTAAGAAGCTGTGGGACGACGGAGCCGGCGGTTGCGGAGCGGCGGGTGCAGAGCGAAAAACAAGAACCCCACATAGTGATGTGGAGAAAAACCTATTGCACACACAGTTTCAACAATGAAATTCCTTCCAAGCCAGCTTCTTTTTAAGGCCACATCCCTTGCCAGATTTGACGTGCGGAGGCATCCTGTTCATCAATGTGGCGGCCTGGCACTTGGGGGCGCTTTGCTTGATACAGTTCCAGCGCATGAAACATATGTTGGAAATTAGCTACGCACAATGGTGGGACATGGCCGTGGCCAAATCGCTCCCCCTGTTGCCTCTCTCCTTGGCTTGAGCCACTTAGTCGCTTTGCAAAAGCCAAACGGGGGCATTCGTGGGTTGGTGATCGGAGATGTCCTACGGCGTCTAGTCGCTCCTGCTTGCCGTTCGTCAGGTCGTTCTATGGCACCCCGTCGCACTATGTGTGGCACGATGCAGAAGGCAACCCCCACACCATCGAACAAGCCGAGGGTGGCGAACAGGGCGATCCACTCATGCCCGCATTGTGTTGTCTCGGCCAGCATGCCGCGTTGGCGGCAGTGCAGCAGCAATTGCCCAATGAGGCCATTCTCGCATTGTTGGATGATGTGTATGCAGTTGTCCCAATCGACCGTGTGCGCCCTGCCCTGTCTTGGACTTATTGCAGCACCACTTGTCTCGCCACGCCCATGTGCACCTCAACCACGGCAAAACCCGCGTTCGGAATGCGGCGGGCCAGGCCCCACCCAATATCAGTGACCTTGGTCCAGAGGTTTGGGTCCGCAACCATTCATCCCCGCCAAACGTCCAAGGGCCCCGCGTTCTCGGAGTCCCCACCCTATAGACTATAGATCAGCTGAGGTTAAAAACAACCTCTGAGGTTATTTTGTTTCCTGAGGTTAATTTTCACCTCACTGAGGTTATTCTTAAGAAACCTCACAGTTTCTGCTGTTGTTCTAGAAAATAACAGCAGAATGGTTTACCACATGGCTGTCATTGA